TCCTCCCCTTCCTCCACTTGCTCCACAATTTAACTACCAACAAGCCCATTCTCGTTCCAACTCCCCTAGCATTCCAATGCTCAAAAACTATTTTCCCACAGCCTTTAGGTGTCCTGCTCAGCCTTCTCTTGCTGACTTCCCGTGCGTTAATAACTCTAGACTAACTGGAACTTTCTCTCCGAACATCATTAGCTTACAGCTTACATATCCGCCCAATTTTTTTCTCTCAATACTGTCGACAATATCATTGTTGTTCGAAACACTTTAGATATTATATTATCGAATGCCAGGTCTGTTATAAACAAGATGGCCCAAATCGGAGCCACCGCTCTCGAAATGATGCCTGATATTATATGTGTAACAGAATCTTGGACCCATTCCCTAATTTCTGACACTGCTCTTCTCATAGATGACTCCGATTTTTACCGTTATGACCGCACGACTCGGCGCGGGGGCGGCTTCTCCTTTATCTTAGATCCTACTTAAAGCAGTCTCCCTATTACCTTGATGTCTCCCCATTCACGGGAAACTTGTGCCTTGCATCTGTTATTCTCTCGCCGCAAAGAAAGGCAATTATTGGCTGTATCGACAATCCCGCAAACTCTTCAGTCAGTGATGATTCAAAACTCTGTGAAATCTTTAAATTAATTTCGGAAGCTGCTTTCGATGTTAAAATAATTACTGGGGATTTTAACCTTCCTGAAATAAACTTGGTTTCCCATATTTGTCCACCTAGATTCCAGCCCTTCCAAGATATTGTCCATTTTTCTAACTGGTCCCAGTTGGTGCGCTCTCCAACAAGTGATAATCACATTTTGGATCTAATCTTTACCAATGACATTGCTCCTCTTTTTGTTGCTTTCAAAAAGGACCTCTTTGACAGTAACCAAGTATTAATTCATTGTTGCTTACTGCTTGCCTTTTCAAAAAAGACTAGCACAGTTCAGACTTACCTAAGCTACGCTTGAGTAGATAACGACTTAATAAATAACTATATTAGATCTTTGGATTGGTGTGACTTCCTCTCCTGTAGCGATGCAACCATTCTTCGTGGCGTCATGTCCAATGTTTCCAAGGGCATCCTAGAGTATGTGCCGCTTAGATATCTTAAGTCTACTTCTTCACATTCCCTTGTTCCTTATTTTCTTTGCAACAACGGTCTTGAAAATCTCATAATTACAAACTTTTTAATAAACCGACAGATAACCTTCCTTAGGGTGCAAAATGTAGAAACAATGTAATTTCCTACCACACGAATAAAAGAAAGCATATTTTTGTGCATGTTTTCTATAAAATATATTTGCATTTATAAGACCATCGAAAACCAATGCGAAAAATGCATGCTAAATAAGTGGTCAATTTTTGCCAAATGGGGTTTCTGCTGGAGGTGAAAAAGAAGTGCATTTAAAAATGATTAAAGACAAGGTACATTTAGGTTTTAAAAAGTTTCCCAATTCCCGAATAATTTTAAGGTAGATCCGCCGTCGCATTAGCGTTTAGCGATTTCAGTCTTCAAGGCGCATGCTTTCTGCGTACGGAAAGTCATTTATTCCTCAGTGCCTTTAAGAAGATACCATTTAGAGTTCACGAAATTTTACAATGAGTACGGATTATGCTA